GGGGGGTGGTCGACTATTTGTGACATGACTATGGCTGTGGGAGATGTTACAAAAGGTAAGAGGTAAGAGGTCGAGGACTAGCGGCCCACTTTCACACCGTCCACCAAGAAGCGAACGATTATTCGATGGCTGAAGTAGCCTACAATGGATTGAAAATGCTGGAAAACTTAATCAGAGGTTCAAACTACTCACCCTCAGGTCACCCAGAGGAACGATGACGAAGAAACTGAAAAAGGCGATGAAAGCGTAGAGGATAATTCTTTGGATGAAAAACTGCTTCAACAGTTCCATAAGAGGCTTCATGGTGAACGTTTGAATGTGCGCTTGTGTGTGTCTGTGTATGTGTGTGTGTGTGTGTATGTGTGTGTATGTGTGTGTATGTATGTGTGTGTTTTGTTTGTGTTGTGTTTGTTTGAACGTGCGTACGTGTGTGTGTATTTGTTTGTGTTTATGTATGTTTGATGACGATCCGACCTCTCTTGCTGTCTCTGTATGGCACTTTTACTTCCTCGTCTTTTTCGTTGTTAAATTACGATCGTGATACCCATCTTATAATGTATCCTTCCCCAGCTCAGAGTTCAAGACTTCGATCTGTCTGCGTGACCTTTATCAACCACTGATTCACTGTAGACAACGTTTAGACGACCATGACCTCTTGAATTCTGTCCTTTTCTATGTTCACAAATAAACTTTTCCAGACGAACACACGACAGAAAGCGCCTTTAGTCCAACAGCCGTTTTGCTCTGCTTCAAGTCTTTCACATTTCTTGAGGTAGTCCTGGGGAAAAAATACACGAAAAGAAATGAGTAAAGAGGTTCAAAAGACCGTTTGAAAGGTATAAATTGTATTACATATGGTGAGGTTGGGTGGAGCAGGGTGGATAGGAAGGGGGTCAGGATGTGGCATTAGACTATGTAGGCCTAAATATTGGCTAGACTTCCACATCGTACAGTCACTCACACAATAAAGCATTCAGATTCGACACCTTACAAGTAATACATTTCTAATCCAGCAATGCGTCGTGGCTGAAATTAGTCTATCTATGGTACAGATTAATGGACAGGCTTTGAGTTTATATGTATGTATGTATGTATGTATGTATGTATGTATGTATGTATGTATGTATGTAT